CACAAAGTCTTTGGGTGGCTTTTGATTTTGGTTTTCACTTAAGGCTAAATCATAGCCCTGTTTATGCATTACCTGGATGTAGGTCACTCATGTGCTCAAAAGGAAACTGGCTGCACTGCTGGCCTGGCTCCCAGCAACATATGCCAGTTCTAGCAGCCTCTTTCAATCAAGAGGAGAGAGATTTGATCTTCTTTGCACTTACATTTAATTTATATTTATTGGACCAATATGCAGACTGAAATAAACATTTTGCAAATGCAGTTCTCCAGCCAAAACAAGTGAAAAAATGCATATGTGGGGATGGGGATTGTGCACGTGCTAGTGAAATTAACATACAGAAATGTATTATATTAGGAGAAATAGCTAGCATAAAATGTGTATAGCAGTCAAAACTTCATCCCAAAATGTATTTCTTAAGAGAAATTCACACTAAAATGCCAACAAATTTTCATGGGGATATTAAAAATAAAATAAAATAATTATTAGTTTTTTGCTTTTTGCAAACTACTGTCTGACATGAGGAGAGGAAAAAACCTGGGGGGGGCGGATTAGAAACAGAGAGAAACTGAAACTGACAGAAGGCTGATTGCCAAAGAATTGATGCTTTTGAATTATGGTGCTGGAGGAGACTCTTGAAAGTCCTATGGACTGCAAAAAATCAAACCTATCCATTCTGAAGGAAATCAGCCCTGAGTGCTCACTGGAAGGACAGATCCTGAAGGTGAGGCTCCAATACTTTGGCCACATCATGAGAAGAGAAGACTCCCTGGAAAAGACCCTGATGCTGGAAAAGATTGAGGGCACAAGGAGAAGGGGACGACAGAGGACGAAAGGGTTGAACAGTGTTCTGGAAGCTACCAACATGAGTTTGACCAAACTGCGGGAGGCAGTGGAAGACAGGAGTGCCTGGTGTGCTCTGGTCCATGGGGTCATGAAGCGTCGGACATGACTAAACAACTAAACAACAAAAGGCAGAATTCTTCATGTAAGGATGACAGTGGGAGGCACAACTTCCTTGCCCTTACAGCTGTAAGAGTCTGAAGTGTTTAGAAAAAGTTGATTTAAGTTCTACAAGTAGCTGCTTATTGCAGATCCTTGTAATTAAAGATGTGTTAAAATGATGGAATTAGCTACCATAAGATGTCGTGATGGACTTAAGTCGTGGTGGCTGTGTACTACCTCCACTATCAGAGGTTTTCCTCTCAGCATTCGTCCTTCTTCCATTTCTTGGGGGCTGGGTCAGAAGGACGCACATTCTCATGAACATTTTTCTGGCTCATCCCCCAGGAAACGTAGGTAGGAAGAGTGCTCATGGCAACCCAAGTGCATCCAGCCAAACCCTCAGGAAACATGAGCTGGAAGGAAGGTTCCGGGGAGGAGAACCTCATCAGCTCCTATGAGGAGATTCATTGAGGATCTTCTTAACTGTAAAATTTTATATATATATATATATATATATATATATATATATATATATGGAAATGAGATTTCAGCCACCTATTAAAACAACAAAGTAAGCCCATCCTGAAAATTTAAAAGAACTGTTCAGACTCTACCCTACCCCTGAATTGCCAGAATGGAACTATGCCAACAAAACTCTGTTCTGAGTAGTAGGCACGTATCATTTAATCAATTACTCTAACAAATGAATCAGTGCTGTGGACCTACTGTGCAAACAAAAATAAAGCCTGCTGGATCAAACCAACTGTCCATCTAGCCCAGCATCCTGTTCTCACAGGGGCCAACCAGATGCTTGAAAGCAGATCCAGAGCTCAACAGCACCCTCCCTCCTGCAGTGTCCAAAAACTGGTATTCAGAAATATTACGTCCTCAAACCATGGAGGTACAGAATAACCATCATGGTGGGGGCAGTGGACAGCATTCCAGATGCAAACCTTACATTGAGAGATGGAGCCTTATGTACAAAAATGCAGCCCAGAAGCTGCCATTTTTGTAGAGCATCTCTAAGTGAATCTGTTTTTTTGGTGTTCTTTTGGATGTGTTGATGAAAGGAAGATCTTCTTAGGGAATAGCTGTTGCCACACAGAGTGTTTTCACGGAGAGAGATGCTGGCTTATGTTTGTTCTCTCCCCTCCCATTCAGGCCAGCTGCATCATCCATCTCAAAAGCAAGATACTCTGAAAGGATCCTTTGTGAGCCAGCTAAAACAGCATGTTCTTGAAGTTGTCTCCAGGGATTGATTCAGTCAGCTTCCCCCTTCCATTTTTATGTTTAGATGGGGGGGGGGGGCAGAGGCCTTTCCCTACTCCCTGAACTCTTGCATGTGCTGTTTTGCTGGACCATCATCAACACCAATATGTCCCCCCCCCAAAAAAAAAAAATAGAAGAGGGGGAAGTGACTCCAAATTAATTTTGGCAAGCCCAGCCACCAGTCAAAGGATGTATATGACTGTCTATCAGGCAAATCGCTGAAGCCTTTACATAATCCCATTATGTACAGTATACTGAATTCTAATGCATGCCAGTCTGGCCTTTAAGCTCAGTAAAAACCAACATTTTCTACGCACATAATTACAATACCGGTAATTAAATCAGCTGTTTGTGCCAAATGCAGTTCAGGGCCAAAACAATATAATCTGAGTTTTGCAGTGATCCAACAACCGCAGCAATTGTCACCGGATCAATTTCTCAGCACAGATGCTGCAACCATGGCAATTTCTTTCCCCCTGCTGGTTTGGTTGATATTCGGTCCTGTCAGAAACATCAAGGGAAATGTGTCACACAGCTCTGTGTCCTGTCTTGCAGGACTTGCAACTCGAGATCAAAAAGAGGACAGTATCATTACCTGAGAGAGTTGTAATTCTGAGTCATTTCATAAATTACGTGTGTGAGGTACATGTTTGGTGGCTCATAAAACCAAGGACTCATTCCCTTGGAAAATTAAAAGCACTTCTTCTTTCTTTAAGGCAATCTCAAGAACATACTCTCAGGTGACTGAAAAGAGACTAACTGAGGTAAAAGAAGAAAGCTAGCACAGCGCCAACATGAGTACATTTGGGTGGGGGGGTTTTGTAGCAGGAGCAGCATTTATAGGGGAGGGCATTGCCCCCATCACTCCAATATTTCATTCCTCAGGGACACTTGGATTTCTAGTAACTCTGTGGTTCTCCATATGTAATATGACAGACCTACTTCCTGTCAAAATTGTCCTTGCTCCTGCTTCCTGGCTAGTTGTTTGGTCCAACTTGTACTTCAGCTCTGCCTTCTGGGCAAATCTGGTCCTGACTTGTTCTTCAGTTCTGCCTTGTGGTTTGCTCCTTGGTCAGACTTGTCCTAGTTTGCTCCTCCAGCCAGTCTCCTGGTTTGTATTTGTCCCTGGCTTGTTCATTGATCCTGAGCCCTGGCTTTGTCCCTTTGCCCTTGGTTCATGATTTGCTCCGGACTGCTGCCGACATCCCAGCCCTGGCAATAAGCTACTCATGCACACGTCCCATTGAAGACCATGGGATTTGCATATATTTATAACCAGCACAGTTAAGAAGTTCGATCCAGTATTCCAGTCAAATGTCTGGTGCTTAAAATGGCTGCTTCTTGCCTTAGATTAAAGTGCCTTCTTCAGGTGTTCAAAAAGAACACATAAGGGCTTGGAAGGGATAAGGATAGGGTGGCCCCACCCCAAATATCACCAGGTGTGTTTGAGATACCTCTCCACACCAATATTCCTGTGTTAAGTGGGAAAATCTGAAAAAGGCTTTTAAGATTGTTCAGCCATACATGCTTAGAAATTAATGCAGAAAGGTTGAGGGGAATCGGGTATGCCTAGTGTATGCACCTCCGTCCCCACACACCACATTCTTTTTGAATACCTGACAAGGGGTTTTGTGAGCAGGAATTAAATAACAGTGATATTTTTAACTGGGAAGAAAGCTCTTCAGAGAATCCTAAAAATGCTCTTAAATAACCATCTGTCCTCCTATAATAAGAGCTGGGCGCTCACCTATGCCTTGCTTATTTTTGCAGATCAACACTGTGTATGCTTTGTTTGGATTTACGTTCCTTCCCGCCTGTCTCCAGCAGTCCCTTTGGAAACGACCGGCGGAAAGAGCTACATAATGATGTCACAGGGGAACTCAAGGAACAAACAAAGAACTCAGTGTAAGAATAAAAAAAACTATCCCAGAACAATTAAGTTTCCCATTCGAAAGTGATGGGGGGAATGCAGACCCTTTGTCCCGGGTTAGCAGAAGCATGAAACTCAGCAGGTATGTTTTTCCCCTCACTTTCATTTGTTATGAATCAACCAAGATTGCAAGAAGATTTAACGGTATAAGCAGGTAAGTCAAACCAAGTGGGATGTTTCAAAACAGGAGGCAGCATAGCTAATCGTAAAAATTCCTGTCCTATGAGATTGATCTGAATGCAGTCTGCATAACCCCCACTGAATCCTAAGACTGTTGCAAACTGGAGATCCTGGGGCTTTAGATACACACCCAGCTCCCCCAATCCTATTTTGATGGGATTCGCTTACGAATCTGCTTGCAGAAGAATTCTGGAGAGCCTGAAAGCTTTCTCCTTACATTTAAGCAGACCTAATAAAGACCTTGTCCTACCATAGCTTTGTCAAATGGGCATGCCCCACACAGGGTGTGTGGGTGTGTGGGTGTGTGTGTGTGTGAGAGAGAGAGAGAGAGAGAGAGGGAGAGAGAGAGAGAGAGAGATGCTGGACCCCTTCGATGAATCTCATTCCTGCAGGACATGTGGTTCCCCACCTTCAGTGTGGCAGTAGTTCTTCAGCATCTCAGACAGAAGATGTGATTTCACATCAATGGGTACCTAGTCCTTTTATTAGTAGATGTCAAAGACTTTCAGGTCCACACACAAGCTTGGGAGCTGTTTCCCAGTAGCATGAGCCCAGTGTCCACACTGCCGGGAAAACAGGAAGCTGCCTTATACCGAACGAGAACATTAGTCCATTTAGCTCAGTATTGTCTCCACTGACTGGCAGTGCCTCTCCAGGGTTTCAGGCAGGAAGTCTTTCCCAGCCCTACTGGGAATTGAACCTGGGACCTTCTGCATGCAAAGCAGATGCAGTGTCAATGAGCTATACAGCCCTTTCCTCTTTCTCTCTCTGAATACTCCAACCACATGGCTGGGGCTGATCATGTGGGTCTTTAGCACCCAATCAGCAGTCTTTGTCCCAACAGAATGCCAGCTTGATGCAAAAAAGTGATGTCTCTGCACACATGGAAGCCAAGTGGGATAAGACCACCCAGAAGAACCTTCTGTTATGTTGAGTGTGTTGTTAGTGGGGACTCAGAAAGTCGGCAGATCTCCAAAGTCTGGTTGATTACATCAAGCGGATTAGAATTTATCTGTGGGGTGCCACAGATTTTGCAGGAGTGAGATGCATTGAAGTGGTCCAGCAGATCTTATACCATATCTGTCTGACCATCTCTCTCCTTCTATTCCATACATTTTACTATCTGAAAAGCATACTGTAGACTTGGCTGCACCAGCTGCATACGAAACAGAAATAAATCCAAGAATCATAAACCAAGTGCTCTCTTCAGCAGCCTTGCCTGTGCTTACATTTTCCACAGCTTGTAAGGAAATTGTCTATTAATCTTCCCTGCTGGGTAATTTATATCAGTTATGTCACTTTGGTCACTTCCTGCTCTGTTTTATTACTTCCAAGTATAGTTAAGTGCCACTGCAGTCACTCTTCTAACCTGAGATTCACACACTAATACAATATAGTACAGCTGATGACCAATTCTTATTTGTCAAAAGAGCCTCAGAAAGCTCTTCCAGTAAATATTTCTCTCCCAGAAGAAGTCTAACTAAAGCTAGATCCATGTCATTTAAAGCACATGGCTTCCCCCAAAGAATCCTGGGAACTGTAGTTTGTTAAGGGTGCTGGGAACTGCAGCTCTATGAGAGGTAAACTACAGTTCCCAAGATTATTTGTGAGAAGCCATGTGCTAAATGTGCTTTAAATGTTTGGTGTGGGTGTGACTTAAACCTGCAACCAAAGATCTGGATGTTTACAATTCATCCCTCCCCACATCTCTAGGTTTTGGCTCTGTGTTCTTCAGTCCTCTCTGCCTATTCTCTTTGGATGACTACCCAGAGTTCATGGCAATCCTGGTCATTGTGGATACACCAGTGTTTCTATATAAAATGTGGACAACAGGCAGGCATCTTCAGCACTCCCATTTGGACCCTGTATCCCCAGGTGCAAAAGGTAAGTCCATCAGTTGATTGTGCTTGTTTGGTAAAATAGAAAGGAGAACTCCCTGGATGCCTAGATCCGGGTTTGGGCCAAGTACTCTTTGGTGAGAGAGCCCCAGCAGAGATTTTAAATCACAAAACATGCAGCAAAGTAAAGCGTGGGAATATAGGCTATTTGACCTTTGAAATATCCCCCTCTAAGCCCATATCACTTTTTAAATTTTCTTTTCATACATTTATATCCTACCTTTCTTCCTTGAAACCCAAGACAGTAGTCATATGGTTCCCATATGTTCAGTCACCCAGGCATTGACCAGACCCAGACCTGTTTAGCTTCAGCAAGGTAGTGGTCTCATAGTACCCTCAGACCATGTCCTGGAATTGGGTTTCCCCAAAATGTTTGTCACTCATAAGGTGAAGAATATGTTCACAATGTGTTTCATATATCTTGTTTCCCTAGAAAGGAGCCACGCCTTCCCTGCTGTATTTTCAACTGTTTGAAGACCAATGTGCTGGTCTTTCCTGGCTCAGATAGTAGTCTGTGCCTGATTTCTTTTGAGTTGGTTATATAACTGATAGTAGTCACAGGGTCCCCTTTAAGTGTGTGTGTGTGTGTGTGTGTGTGTGTGTGTAAGAGAGAGAGAGAGAGAGAGAGAGAGAGAAGCACCATGAAATGCAAGCCAAAGTTTTAACCTTGTTTTCCTTGGAACTGAGCAAGACACAGTAATTGCACCTCTCTGTGACTGCTACAGTTGAGTTCAAACCGTTTCTAAAGAACAGCTGGTGCTTAGTATGTTTCTGTTATCAAATCACTTTTCCTCTCTCATGGTCAATAATAATTTGCCTAAAAAGGAAACCGTTCCTTTCAAGATCCTTGTAACTCTTTCCAGATTTTGTAGCTTGGGTGGCACTGATGTATTCTACGAATCTTAGCACTTCAGCTCCCTGCCAGCACATTCTGTGTTGAGACCTTGAGGCCACTGCAGCTGCTTATGCACTCAGCCGCCTCTGTGTCGATGCTGCATTCGGAGAAGAAATGTAGAAGAAGTCTGTTAACACCCGAGGAACATTTTAAAGGCACAGCCTTTCCCCTCAAGGCTAGTTGTTCACACATGCAAACAAAGTTAGCTCATTTTCATGGTGCAATTGCTGGTGCAACCATGCAAAGAAACATAAATGTGAACTGGACAGCACATGGGGAAAACCACAGTAATTCCGGCCATCATGGTGGCCAAAATTTCTCCATCACTTTCCTAACAGCAAAAACAGAAAGGGAACTTTTTCCTTACAAAAAATCTGCAAGATTCTGGAAAATAGAGTATGAGGATAGGTCAATTTCAAGGGCCATAACAAATGACCACCCTTTATTTGGCTGGGTTTGACCTGGTTTTGGCTGCTGTTACACTTTTAAAAATGTGCCTTCAGAATGATTTGTTTCTCTTCCTCCTATTTATTTTCTTCTTGTAGTTTTTATTTTTAAAAGATCTGTGCCAAATCTTTCCTTTACCGTTTGTTTGTTTTTAATGGCAATGGCACGTGACATCGATGCATCTTCTTCCTTCTGTTTTAAAATGTAAATGGTTTGCAAGATGAAAATGTGTACAGCCAGCCTGGGAATTAAAAAAAAAAAGTCAGAAAAGAAATGTCTGGTTCACAAAACATGTGTTCAGCAGATGGTGTTGAAATGTACAAGTCTCGCCTTCTGTTGGGAGGATGGCTTTTTATACCCAACTCATAAAGGAAATGCAGACAGGCGCACAGAGGAGAGCATTCATTTCACATACTGTATGATGTATCTTCTCAAAGATCCTAACCATGTATCATAGTCCAAGCTCAAATGAAAAGAGTGGGGCTTAGGAAACTAAAACAGTTTCAAAACTGCAAACAGTTTGGGTTCCACTTCGTCTGTGCTTGTATTTTCAGGGTGTAATAGTATATCTGTTCAGGATACCTAATGGTAAGTAAATGCCTGTCTCAAGCTGGCAAAAGGCCAGAGCTCAGTGATAGAGAATCTGCTTTGCAGGCAGAAGGACTCCTGTTTAGTCCCCAGCATCTCCAGCTGGGTGGGGAAAGACCTCTGTCTGAAACCCTGAAGAACCACTGCCAGGCAGAGTAGACCAGATGTGGGGACCTCAGCCCCAGCAAGTGCAGCCAGTGACCAGGGATGATGGAATGTTGTAGCTGAGCAACATCGGGAGGGCCAAAGGTTCCTCACACCTGGTGCAGACAATACTGAGCTAGATAAACCAGTGATCGAATACTGGACTAGATGAATCCACATGAAAGCTCAACCTTGGCCATTCTGCCAAGCTGAGGGAGGACTGGGAAGGAACACCAGTGATTGCTGGGCAACACCAGGTTGTGGTTCCTAGCTACTTCCTGTTTGTCTGCTGAGAATGAAACAAGCAAAGACTCTTGCAAGGCCAAAATATGTGATCGCTGAGGAGACTGCCCCCGATGGTTCTGCCAGGCTTACTGCTCCTTCCTTGTATTCTTCCCTATCAGCCTTCTCTGATGGTTCTGCCACATCTCTGTATGGATTTAATGGCATCACCCAGTCGTTCCTGATGCAGAGGGGAGGTTACATGTTTCATCTCTGCATGAGTCCCTGCTCTGCCAGTCAAGAGGCATGCTCAGAAGAGATGGCCAAGGAAAAGAGGGGCAGAGTGGTGTGCCCTGGTCATCTGGTACTCCCTATAGCTCATGAAACAGGCTTCTGTTACTTGCACTGCTCTAATTTTATACACCTGGCTACTACACAGCTTCTACATTGGAGAAATTGTGTCCCTATACTTTACCTAGTTTTTCAAAGGGGAGAAAGTGCAGGCAAATGAAATTCTCTATGGTAGCAGAAGTATTCAAAATGTCTTTCAATATGTTGCTTGCTACCAGGATCCAAAGTGATTAAAAATGGTACCCAGAAGTGAAAGTTCCCGAAGACGGATAAATGTAGTGGGATTTTTCTCCTGCGTAAGTACTTGGAAGAGAACATTGTTGAAAATGTTCAAGGGATTGTGTGTTCCCCACTCGGCTATTTGCAAAAGAAAAAGCTTATGTGCATTGCTTTTTGTGTGTCAGAATGAGGCCTTCTGGGAATTTTGGCTATTACCGCAATAGCTTTAGCGCTGCTGTTCGGTTCCAAAAACCTCAGGAGGGCCTTCTCTGATAACATTATGCACACCCTAAACTAATTACAGAGAGATTAACAATTAAATTTATGTCAAGGAAATTTCATGGACACTGTATACAAAACATAAAACCAAGCTGCTACCTGCTGCTGTGAAATAATCGTATTTTATTTTTCACTGTATTGCCCAAGCGCCATCTTGAACAAAATATTCCCATGCCTTTTCCACGGAAGGGATACAATGCTGCTTTAATCCACCTGCCTCCAATTTCACTGTGCAAGCATGGCCTCCTATATTTGCTTGAGAACTTGATATCCACGAATGAAAGAGACCCTTTAAAAAGCATGCTTCTGGGCCTCGTTGTCACAGTTCAGGGAGCATGTAAACATCAGCTGGAGTAGGCTCAGCAAAGCAGAAAGCCAGAACTTCCATCGAGAAGGAAGTGATACTACATCATTGGCTGGTATTGTCTACACCCCTGCTACCTGTACTATTATCTCCCAGGTGCACACCAAACAAGGAAGGAAGCTGTGGATTTGTTTGTTGACTGCTTGGTGTACAGGGTCTCTGTTTGGGGATATGAAGTGTGGTAGCAGATCCACTGTCTCGTATGAGTGTCAGCTGTTTTCTTCCACTTATGTTCTACCTGTATTTTAGTAAAGAAAGCAACCGTTACCAAAACACTATAAATCTCCAGAGCTCTCTCCTCTAAAGGAAACCAAACCCAGCAGCTCTGCCCTTTGAACTTCTTG